ATTTGACAGCTATGTCAAACTAACGTCAGGCATCACAGCCACCTAGATTTTATGAAATATTAAAGATCTATTGATAGTAAATCATATCAATATTAATTTTGTCTCACCTTGTATATTTTTTCGGATCAAGTTTTAATTTGATTTAAAGTGAAATGGTTATTTTAACTATATATTAAGCTATACTGGGTAAATTACAATTTAGATAGCTTTTATTGAAACTTAAAATTTGTTCTTTATTTTAAGCAAACGTTGAATATATCAAAAACCTTACATTTTAGTCATATTGTGCTTCTGTAATGAAACTCACCTTTATTTTTCTCTTATAATCCGCACATGTGTAACTTTTTGGTAGAACCGGTAGAACTCTATATTTTTAAAAAATGCTCTAGATTAATCTACATATGCTCACAAAATTTTATTTCAGACACTGCTGTCACTGACAGGGATTCTCCCATTGGACAGACTATAGTTGCTAGTGCTTGGATATGTAATGAAACAGTTTTTTAAAATGGTTAAATTATATTCTTTATTCCAATATAACGATTATTTAATGAAGATTGTCATTTCTTGTAGACATTAATAAGTATAAACATCTGTTCTCTTCATAACAATAAATACACTTACCTTAATCGAATTAAATATAATTAAAAAGATTGTATAAATATTCCAGTGGCAAGATTCAATTCTTCAGATTTTTTACAATTAAGCAATTTAAATGCAAGCTTTATTTAGAATAATATAATTAATTATTTAAAACTAAATAGAATAAAATAAAATCTTTGGATTTATTGAAGATGATTTAAAAGGAATGAAACATTTATAAAAAAAATCTTAGGGCCTACCAAATTTTTTAAAAAAATTTTAGATCACATTCATGTTTCTTGACTAGTCTTAATTTGCTAATACTTTTTTTTGTCTTACTCTATGTTACTGTCCACACCGATTAAGGCTTCTAATTGTTCAGAACTTGTTTCCTTTCGTCTAGAACTGAAATATAAGGTTTGGTCGGTAAGCTTTTTATGTATAGGGTGTCCCAAAAAGTTCAAGTACAAATGGCGAAAAATATTAGTTATTGAAAAAAGTTAAAGTGGAATTTCTTCAGCATATTGTTTAGTAATAAAAAAAATTGACAAAAGTCATGCAACAAAATTGTCATCCATATACAGGGTGGCGCACCTCATTCGCCTCGGTTGATTATACGAAAACTAAAAGATTTAGAAACAAAATATTTTATGAGTATATGTGAGAGGGCAATGTGCATTATTTAAAATTATTTTGAAATGTACAGGGTATGTCAGAACTAAGATCCACACCAAAGTTATATTTTTTCTTATGGAACACCCGGTATTTTATTCAAAATTGCATCCTTGGACACAAAATAAGGCATTTATTATAAGGGTTAGATATGTTTACAAGCTTTGGTTTTTAAGATATTTAAATATTTATCTATGCTATAATAAAAAAGATTGTCAACACCCTGTACATTGCTTTTCATAATTAATTCTTGTGGTGACGTTTAAGCCAAAGAAATAAACTTTACTGAAAAATTTAATTGCTTCGTTTAATGTATACAGGGGTATCAAAAATTGCTACCCTAGGATATAAAAAATACAACACCCTGTATTTTTTAAAATAAATCGAAGCAGATTCAAATGTTCTTTCAAATTATATTAGGGTTTCCTATATCTATCTAGCCCAGATTTTGAATAAAGAGCAATTTTTCAATAAAATGGCAAACAAGATGTCTAGTGTCCTTGTGGCAAGTTTCTAGTGACAGTAGTTATTTTCAAAATCGAAATTAGTTTATGGACTTTATTTAAATTTATACCAGTTTACTTTTATTTAATTTATCTACAATAGTTTAATAAATAATATTTATTAAATATGTATTTATTATTCTATCAAGAAAAACGAACATGTAGTTTTTTGAGTTATTTTACGTTGACTTGTAGATATATGGATTTTCTATAAAAGAGCCATTTACGGCAAATTAATTTCCTTCACTTTCAACGACAGGTTTCTGCCTAATAAGTTTTTTATAAACCACACTACTTACCAACTCTGCCAAATAGGACAAGTCGATTTCCAAAGGAATGCTTATCAGGAAGATTCATATTTGGATATCTTTAAGCATCAGTCCTTGAGGACAAGAAGCAATTTTCCTCACAAAATAAAATCACCAGTAACAATTTCATTCGTTCCGCCAGCAGAGACTGCTTTATTTTTCTTGATAAAATAATGAATACTTACTTATTAAACTATTGTGGGTAAATTTAAGTAAACTGGTATAAATCTAAATAATAATGTTCATAAACTAATGTCGATTTTGAAAATAGTTACTAACTGTCACTAGAAAATACCCATAACCAGCCATCTTGATTTCCATTTTATTGAAAAATCGTTTTTTTACTTAAAATCTGAGCGAGATAGGTATAGAAAACCCTAATATAGTTTGAAAGAGCATTTGAATCTGCTTTGATTTATTTAAAAAAATACAGGGTATTGCATTTGAAATAACGAAGTTTTTATGTAAAATAAATCTTTAAAATAGATCAGCAATTTTTGGTACCCCTGTATAAATTTAAAGAAGTAACAACATTTTTCAGTAAAGTTTATTTCTCTACCTTTAAACACAGCACAAGAATTAATTCTGAAACGTAATGTGCAGGGTGTTAATAATCTATTTTATTGTAGCATGCAAATTTAAATATCTTTAAATATCTCAAAAACCAAAGATTTTAAACATATTAAACCCTTATAATAAATGCCTTTTTTTGGGTCTAAGAACCTAAAAATGAAATAAAATACAGGGTGTTCCATAAGAAAAAATATAACTTTGTAATGTATCTCAGTTCTGAAACACCCTGTATATTTCAAAATAATTTTAAATTGTGCACATTGCCTCCCCACATATAGCCATAAAATATTTTGTTTCTACATCTTCGCGCCACCCTGTATATTTGAACATTCATCATGATACTTACTGTAATATGGCCGTTTTGCGACACAACTTCGCATATGCCATATGTAAAACACCAAATATAGGATCCCAATTGTCAAAATACAAATAAACAACCACCATAAAAAAAGCAATTATCATGGGAACGAAACCCAAAAAGAAAGAATAAGTAAAAGCAATGTCCCCAAACAAAATATCAACGATCATTATCAAGGGTATAATCATACATTTCGCCATTATGGCCACTAGAGATGACGTTAAAAATCGACTCTAAAATATTAAAAAATGACAGAATAGAAAATTGAAAATAATACAGAAACATGCTTACCATAGCCATAAAGCTTCTGGAATGAAAGATTCTATAAAAGTGCTGAGAATCAGTAAACTTAGTTGTTCTTTGTCTGGTAGTTCACAATGTTTCTATATTGGAAATATGTAGAACAAAGAGTACTGGCCAAGAAGAGTAAATTAAATAATCCTACAAAACCTACAATTATAATATTATTAGAAATAATGCACTGTTTCTGTTTTCTTATAATCTTATATCTTGGTTAAAAAAGACAGTATGCAGTAAAAAGATTTTATGTTAGTAGTCATTTATTGATTTTTCTATAGTAAATAAAAGTTCAAAAAAATATATACCTAAAAATAGAGGTACATCCATTTTTTCTTCCTTATCCTTTATAACTCTTTTAAGGAACACCAAATAACTGGCGTAAAGAAATGCGCTTAAGACAGATAATGCAGCTCCAACAGTTCCTTGTGCGTCTAATTTGATGTTATGAACATTAATAATTATCTAGAATTGTCAGAACTATTAAAAAGACATATTCTGACAAGAAAATAATAAAATACATACTATACTAATAACGCTCAATACAACTGCAACAAACTTGGAAACTGTAAATCTATCAATGTGGCTGGAAGGATATACTCCAGATAAAACAATGTGAATATAGTCGAGAAGTTAGAAAAAAATACACTTAAACATGCATTCCCACCTTTAATTAAAGCTACTTGATAAGTATAACTGGCCAAGACTACCTAAAAAAGTACATATAACTTAAATAATAATGTAAATAAATACATACTACAGGGTGACCCAGAGTTTTGAGAAAAAAAAAGGAACATAAAACCTTATAAGGACGTTTTTTGGGACACTGGGTCACTAAAACCTAATTTACTCACCAAAAAACAAAATATAAATGATACTTTTATAATATCACAAAGTGGCATTTTCAGAGAAGCTTTTTTAATACTATCCGAAGCACGCAAGGAAGCTTGGTAAGATAATCTTGCTAACAAAGCGTCTCTTGCTTCGGATTCAGAGAGATGTCTAACCTCCGCCATCTTATTAAATCTAACAGATCTCAGTGAAGAATCGTCACTCTCAGTTTCAGAACTCCTATCCATGTAATCCCTATCAGAAGCTTTCACAGGTATGAAAACAGGGTTGCTGAGTTTAGTTTCTGCGGACTCCTCCAGATTGATGTCGTCTTCAACGTTTGTTTCCAGGAATATATAGTCATTTGGTCCGGGACAGTAAATATCTTTCCAAGGAGGCCATAACGCGAAACCAAACAGGTAGATCGCAAACATGGATGTTTTGAAGTAAGTACAGAAAAAAGGCTTTTGGAAGGTTTCATGTTTGTACATATACTAATAAAACAAACAGAATTTATCTCTAAGAACTAAAGAACTTTGAATTAAGACATTTTACATACCGAACTAAGTTCCGAAGAGGATACCCAAATAATATTAACTAAAATCAAGACTATCAAGCCTAAAATAATCTTCTGTTTCTTAGTTAACACATTAAGCGAATCCATTTAAATATAGATGTTCGACATCATTATATATCGGAGCTTGTGTGGGCGGCTAAATCATAAATAACGTTTGATAAGGATTAATGAAGCCAAATATAAAGCATCATTAGTAATCTACGTGCCCATCCTGGCTAAAAAAACGTAAACACAAAAAAGTTTACGCTGGCTAGGAGCAAAAATATTTAACCTATAAATTCCGGTTTTTGACAGGCGGACTTTGGAACTACTCGAAATGATTTATTATGTCTACTTTTCGTTATGTGTATTGTTGGTTGCTTAGAAACCAAAAATTTGAATACAAACTTTTGAAAACTTGCACAAATATATTTTTTCTAATTCTAAAAAGTATGTTATTAAATGGAAAAGGACTACCTTCAGCTAATCGCATGGGTATAAATGTAGTTAGTAAACGAATTGTCATTTTAATTAAAGTATTACAAATTAACAGACAAACCTGCTAAAGATAATATATTGGATTGTTCAGAGCCACCTCCGATGGAAAAACTGAATTGGCTGATGCACTTGCAACATATTCGAGGTGAAATTGATTTTTGCAAGAAAATAATTAATTTAGAGTTGGCCAGAAGCGATGGAAAAAATGAATATGCCTTTTTTAAACAGGTACTACCATAAATAGTGGAACTATACTAAAAATCCGATAAAAAATGTATTTTTTAGGGATCAATATTAAAAGAGGAAGGACATATACAGGAAGCTCTTGAAATATTTCAAAAATGTTTGAAATTGAACCCAGATAACGCTATAATATTGAGGGAAATGGCAAAATGTCTGTAAGTTGTGCTTTATTGCAATAATTAACAATGGAATAAATAAAATTCGATTTTTTTAAGCTATGATATGCGCAGATTTAGACTTGCTTTAAACGCATATCTTGAAGCTGAGTCTTTATTGAAAAATCCTGATTGGAAGTTGTGTTATTTTATAGGTAAATTAGTTTAAACTAATATAAATTAAAGAAAGGCAAAGAAAGTAATAAGATGATTCGTAATAGTATCAATAACAATGTAAGCATTTTTGATGTAACATGGTCTGTTTTTATAGCCCAATGTTATCTGAAACTTGGAAATATAGAAAAAGCAAAAGAGTACGCCCATAAATCAGTCAAAATGGGAAAACAGGAAGAATCTTACGGTTTATTGATGAAAATTTTAGTATCAGAGCGTGACTTGAAGTCAGCCATCGCTGTATCTAATGCTGCAACTGAGTAAGCACTTTGTTTTTTTACTTTAATGGTCACAGTTTTAGGGGATAATACTTAAATATAAAAAAAGAGAATATATAGGTAGGAACAGAATATCTAGACGATTTGCTGTCACACAATTTTTTATACATACAAAAAAAAAATAATTAAAAATTTTCTGTTGAAAAATTCATGTGTAAAAATATCTCGAATATCTGCTAAACCATTAAAAGTTTTGAATTTTTGTGGAAAATGCCATATGAAATATAAAACCTCGAATATTTGCAAAACCGTCAAAAATTTTGAAATACTCTAAATATAAAAAATGTTCATTTTTTAATTATCCATCTATTGAAAAATAATATACAGGGTATAAAAAAAATAAAGAAAAATTATTTTATATTTTATAAAGTTTGGCGTAGAATTTTGAACATCCTGTATGATTTGCGATTACCATATATATAACAAAGCTATGTACATGCCATCTAAAATAAATACCTAATATAGTTTTGATTTCAGGACAGTTTCTTGTATTTTTAATATTTATAATTTTTAATGGTTTCGCAGGGACACCCAGTATTATTTCATATGACTCATTCAACGGTAATATACGAGAGAAAAATCGTTGGGAGGCTTTGATAAAAATTTACTGTGGAGCATGCTATAATATGAAATATAAAATAAATATATTTTATATTTATTTATCAATATCTCTGAAACTATCAAAATATACTTACTCATATCTTCTCTCAGGATTATGTAAAGTGATCTGAAAGGAAGCAAAAAATGCAATAATATATAGGGTGTTTCTTTAAAAAAACCATCTCGATCCACTCACACCTTTTTGAGCCATCCTATAGAAGTTAAAATATTTTACTGAAATACATCCTAGTACATACTTTAGGTTTGCAGTTAAACATTCCCACGTTTTTTTCTCTGAGCTACAGATGCCCGACACACCCTGTATATAAAAAAAACTAAACCAGCATTGATCTTTCAATTTCAGATGTTGCCCGGATAGCGTAAACATGCTAACAGAATCCGGATTGCTCTATCTAAAGGCTGGCCAGTCTCAATATGCCTTTGAGCGATTGAGCCAAGCTTTAGCTTTAGAGCCCTCTCACTCTAAAGCTCTATTGGGTATTGGATGTATTACCATGGTAAATAAATATTATTTAGTACAAATATGGCAACTTATTTGTTTTTTTTTCCATAGCAACTGTTAAAATTACTTTATATCTATTAAAAATAGTGGATAAAATAGTAGGTACTTCAACCGCAAGGGTAGATTAAATGATACTTTAACAGCGAGGATAGGTTAAAAACTTTATTTCTTCTCGCACGTTTTTTAATTGCTTCCATTTTTGAAAATTGTTGTATTCCTTTGAAGTAGTTTGGATATGGCGTTTGTCGCCTCAGCCTGAATATCTGTTGGTAATTTACTTATTTCGTTTTGAGCCATTACTGGTTCCAATTCAATCAGCAATCGACACGAAAGAGAATTAAAAAATATTGACTCAAAACT